AGTCTGCGACTCCTTCTCCACACGTGTTTCCCCTGTCCACCTTGGGGTTTCCTCTTCACTCGGACCTTTGCCCAGAGAAGTGCTCTCTCGTGCTCCTTCGGCTATTCTCAAGGGTTCTTGTCTTTCCTCTCCCTCCTCACTCATCCCCTCTTCCGCGTTGATCACCACCTCGTGCCTCGTTATCTCCTGTATCCTACTCTTCTCTGCTTTCTCCATTTCCTTGCCTTCTGCCTCCGTTCGTTCAGTCATCTCTTTCTGTGGGGTCCTCATCAGGCACCTCTTCCCCACGAAAGCCCCTCTCTCTGCTTCTTCCTTACCTCTGTTCCCTGTCTGCTTGCCCGACTCCTCAAGTTCATCTCCGTCTTTGTTTGCCCCTGCCAGCCTCCTTCCTCCGTCAGTGGTGTCTACGCTCGCATCTCTATCTTCCACTACTCCTCCTATGTCTTTTTCCGCTTCCCCGTGCCAGTACTCGTCAAGTTTCCTTGTCGCCGTTGCCGACCTCTCTTTTGCCGCTGCTTTTTTACCTACTTTGCTTCCTTTATTCCTGCCTGCGAGGGCCCTAATAGGTGTCGCCTCCTGCTCCTTCGTTATTCCCCTATCCTTCCCAGGCGACAGTGGCTCAGCCGCCTCTGCTTCCTTCCGCTTCGTCCCTTCACCCCCTCCTCTTAGGTTGTAGCCCCTACCTTTTTCCCCGTTTTTTCCCTCCACGCAATTTCGCTGGAGGTTACTTAGTCGCGACTACTCACACTCGCGCCTCCGCGATCTCGATCACATTTATATGTTATTAATTGCTAAAAATTGTAGAGGACCGAAGTCCCGGGCTTTGATGATAAATATTGAAGGTTGCAAATCGATACAAATATATATCGTGCCATTTCATTGAAATTTATAACTATTAATTTTGTTAATATTCAGTTGAGAATTCAAACTTCTTCGCATCTATGATCATATAGCAAGATTGTAAGTCCTTTAATTGTGCTTCTAGCGTATATATTTCATACATCGATTTGGAGAACAAAAAGAATATACTCCATTTATTTGCATAAATGCATAGAGCAAAGAAGAGAAGGTAAAATGGATTTGTTGAAATATACATTAGAAATGAGTATTTTCTGAAAGACATATTGGTTTGTTGTAAACACTCATGCAATAGAAGACTTCAATTTTCTTTTTCTTCTTTCTCCCACATATAACAATATTGGAATACTGAACGAAATTGGGACGAAAAAAAAATTAGTTCATCAAATTTTTAACAAAATTTCAGTCAACAAAATTAGCTTAACAACTCATGAAAATCCCATAAATTTTTTTTTAACCTAATTTAGGATTAAATGCAATTTGATTAATTGGAATTCATTCAATTCCAAGTTGTTGTAAACATACACATTTTTTAGCGGATACTCATATAATATCAGATTGTGGTAGTTTCGTAAATTCCCAGATGAGCTCCTTCTCTATTTATTTTATCAATTTTTTTTGCGATAAATCAATTTTTATAACGTATTTGGTAGAATTATCGAATTAATTCATATGACAAATAATATTCTTTATATCTTCTTTAGGGACGCACAAGTAAATGTGCAGTGCCCATTTACCACTGTGAGGTAGAAAATGCAACGCTGGGTTCGACAATTACGTCCACGGTCACCAACGTCATTGAGTGATTACGTGAATTTAATTAACAGTGAGAAGTGGAGGGAACAATATATGTTGCGGACACTGGGTCACCAGGTAGGCCAAAATATAGGATAAAAGGAACCTTTCAGGTAACTTGACCGTAACTAGCAACGACAGGTAGTGTCCGGAGGAGGAAAGATCTTATAAATCTCACTCAATATGGGGGACCTATTGCGTGGGACTAAGCACTGAACTGCACAATGGTTACTAAGTGAGGAATTAGCACACAAAGAGAAAGATACCCTTGAGTTCCCTTTAAATAGAATTTAAAATTTATTACACTTCACTTGAAATACAGAATAGTAGAAAATCCAAGATAAAAACCGGGGAATAGGGGCAGAAAAAGTGTAGGAAAGAATAGTGTATATGTTGTTGGTGAGTTTTTTCTGACTTACGGTTGAAGAAAACTACGGTGTAGGGATGAGTGGGTGATCTCTCGGTGGCTCTCCTCTACGTAGCGGATTCCGGAGAACTCCAAAGATATGCTAGATGCTCTAGTACTGATGGAGCTGAAGATCCCCAAACACGCTTCCTGGATGGTGGTGAAGCTGATAGGGTGGCTCTGGAGGTGCTGCTGGTGACAGTGGGTCTGAGTTTAAGTAAAACTCGGTGGACCACTAGGTCTAGATGCTGGTTTGCGGTGCTCGTCAGAAATGGCCTGGGCTGGATGCCCGAGTTGAACTTAGTCAGATACTGAGAAAATCACCAGGTCGTTGCTGGCTTGTGTAAAGACCTCGGCTGATAGCTCGGGTTGAACTCGTTGTGTTGCTCAGAGATTTGCCAGACCGTTGCTGGGCTTGCCGAAAACCTCGGCTGAGAAGCTCGGGGTAAACTCAGTTAAATACTGAGAAAATCACCAGGTCGTTGCTGGCTTACAGAAAAACCTCGGCTGAGAAGCTCGGGGTAACCTCAGTCAGTTACTGAGAAAAATAACCAGGTCGTTGCTGGCTTGCAGAAAAACCTGGGCTGAAAAGCTCGGGGTAACCTCAGTTAATTACTGGAAAAAATCACCAGGTCGTTGCTGGCTTGCAGAAAAACCTCGGCTGAGAAGCTCGGGTGAACTAGTAGTGCAGTCAGGCTATAACCAGTGATGAATTGGGCTTGCAAAAGCTGGCTTCCAACAGACGGATCTTGAAGGATCAGCTTTAATGATGAGCAAGGCCCCTCGTTGAATACCAAAAGTCGAAATTTTACTTTAGACTCGTTGGTTAAAGTTGCACACTCAATCTGGGGTTGGAAGTTGAGTTAAATTCTCGAACTGTGCCCCAGTGGTGACGTCAGAGGGTGGTCCTGCAGAGTTTCCTCCTTGAAGACTGATCTTGGAGAGTCGACTGGTTGAAGAGCAGGATACCACTTGAAGATGATTAGGAGTCGAAGATTTAATTTAGACTGCCTCGATCTGGCGAAAAACCGCCCTTTATATACTGTTCGGGCGTGATTCCCCTACGTCCGTTGATTTTTTGATTCTTAATCACCCGACGTTTTTTGAGATATGGAGGGAGGTATCTTCATATGTATGACAGTGTATTCGAAAGGGATGTCTCTGGACGATGTACCCTCTCTCTAGTATCACCCCCCTGTTTCCCCAGGTATGGGTGAGGGTTTTGAGAGAGAGACGGGACGATCGATCATTGGCCTCTCTCCAATTGATGTTCTTCTAATGTCAAAACTGGCATGTTTATGTATTTCTCTGACGCTCACAGCCCATAAACTAGACGTCTTCTTTAACGATGGATAACTATTGTTCATTACAAAACTGGTGTGTCAAGCGGAGTGGATCCTTTGAGGATGGAGGTGTTCCCTTGTTTGGACAACTCAAAATAGTCTGACGAATAGTGCCAATTCCTGGAAGCCATCTCATAACTTTCATTGGGCATGGGGTGTCGATGACATCCCGGCTCAAGCCAACCCCCTGTGACCAATGGGGGGAGATACTCGTGCCAGATGACCCCCTTATTGGTCTGTTTTTTCTTTTGACGATATCGACAAACCCATGGTTGAGGCAGTCCATTTCTGAATTGCGGACATCTTTGATTCATTTCTTTGAGTCTATTCTCATCTCTGTTTACCATTGGAGGGTTGTTTATATTGGTGCCCCCATGTTCAGTTGAGAGAAGAAAAGAAGTCAAAAGGATCTCTTTAGTTATGCCTGCGAGCAATTTGTATGGCCTCCTCTAGATGTTTTGTGATTTCCAGGTGTTGTCCTTTTCATGATCATGTCTTGACCCTTCGGAGGCCCGCATGATGATGACTGCTTGACCCCCCCCCCCCCCAGGGGGTCGCCCTTCATCGCGTTAACCTCACATAATCGATGTTTTGACTGGGTTTTCCAACACTCCTCACCATTGTGCAGGGTTTTTTCAAGTCCCTTTGTATTATTTATAACCTAGTGTTGTACCAGGTTTTTATATTTATTACATAGAAATTTCAACCGTAGTAAACAGCGGTGTTCGCAACATACAGGGTGTCCCAGAAGTACATGCTAATCCTTTAACAGCATGTACAGGGGGTGATTCTGAGCCAAAAAGTCCTTTTCCACTTTTGGATTAGAAGCACCCCCCCGAAGATATTGGGGTAGATACGAGAGCCAATGACGCGGCAGCGTTAAACGGCAGTACGTCCGTGTGGCTCCGCGCACACGCATGACCGACACCCCTTCCAGGCAGCGGGCTACGCTTTTACCTGCGCCCGTGAGTGAGAGAGCAGTATCATCGATTCTCTCTCTCGCTCTCTCGCATCACTCCAGCGAAATGTTTTTGCAATTATCTATTAAACAATAAGGTTTCTGGCATTTTTCCATTGATTATTGTTTGATGAGGAACGTTGTTTGTGGGTGGTCGGGCGTCGGAAAATTGGAAATGGGTGTCGGGAAAAGGGGTGAGCAAGTGGTGAGAAAACCGATGTATAAAACACTGCGTTTTTAATATTCACTTGTCACCAATATACAGAAATGTACAGAATGCGTTGAGAAAAGGTTTAGTGTTAAATAATAAGTTGAAAAGCGTTGGTAAATGCAAGTAAACACGATGATTAAACAAAAAGATGTTGGCGTCGGTTTAATACGCTCGCGGTGTAACGTGGAGAGGCGTTAAGGTACACGAAAAGTTGAGATGCTTATTAGGCGACGTTGATTGCACGAGAATTCGTTGATAACTGGAAATTGGGGGGTCCCAAGCTCGTTGCTGACCGTCGGGTCACCATACCGATGAACCCCGGAAGTATCCGAAATTCGTCGGCTAATTGTCGTTGGGTTGGGGGGCGTTTTTTCATGTCTACTTTAAACATCCCGCCCGCATTCACCACTCGCGATGAATCCTCGCTGATTATCTATTCCGGTTGTCCTCTAGTCGATCTGTGTTGGTGTCTTCTGGTTGATGTTCTGGTGGTGGAGCCGTTGGTAGCAAGCAGAGTTTTGCTATTGGTCTGGTGAAGGTGAGACGTTGAACTCGGGCATTCTGTGGCTCTGGCTCTCCGTCCCGATTCGTTGGGATTTCTGCACGTGCTGTTATTAATTCAGCCACTCTTACGAGTCTATCAGCCCCTGGCCTTACAGCAGTTACTCTCGCCAGTGGCCAATGTGCTGGAGGTTGATCATCGTCGATCATCAAGACCATGTCTCCTTCGTTGATATTCCGTTGACGTTGATTCCATTTATACGTTGAATGATAACGTTGAAGACATTCTCTGGACCGTCTGTACCAGAATTGTTGAGTTTTTTGCGTTACCAGATTCCATCTGGTGATTTTCGTTGTGTTGGCGCCGAGTTGAGATGGCTTCGGGATGAGTTGGAGAGGCTCTCCGATGAGGAAGTGCCCTGGTGTTAATACCTGCAGGTCATCAGGGTCATCCGTCATTGGGACAATTGGCCTCGAGTTGAGACAGGCCTCGATCTGCACCAGGACGGTATTTAACTCTTCATAAGTTAATGTTGTGGTTCCCAGCACTCGTCGTAGATGGTATTTCGTTGATTTTACCGCAGCTTCCCACTTTCCTCCGAAGTGAGGGGCTTTTGGTGGGATGAATTTCCACTGCGTACCGTTGTGTGCCAATGCTGCTCTAATTTGTTGGTTCTCGGGAGACTGTTGATTGTACAGTTTGTTGAGTTCGTTGGCTGCTCCCTCGAACGTTGTGGCGTTGTCACTGTACATTACCGCTGGAATGCCTCGCCTTCCAGTGAATCTTTTGTAGGCAGCAATAAACGCGTCCGTTGTTTGTCTGTTGACCAGCTCTAGGTGTACGGCAGATGTGCTAAAACAGACAAAGACAGCAATATGGACAGTTGATGGTTGAGCGTTCGTTGGCCTCCACTTTAGAATTCGAAGAGGACCTGCATAATTGATTCCAGTGTGCAGGAACGGTCGTGAAGGTGTTGCTCTCGACGTTAGGAGCTGACCCATCAGCTGCTGTGCTCGTGTTGCCCTGAACCTGGTGCAGACAGAGCAGCGCAGTATAAACGCTTGTACTGATCTTCTGCCTCCAACGATCCAGTATCGTTGTCTGATGTAGGCCATGGTGAGTTGCGCTCCTCCGTGTAGAGTTTTCTGGTGAGCTTCGTTGATGATTAACGTTGTTAGCCGAGACTTCCGTGGCAATATCACTGGGTGAATTTCGTCTGGATCGAGCAATGAGTTTTTAAGTCGTCCACCCAGCCGGAGAATTCCTTGGTCGTCTATTCTCGGCGTCAGTTTGGCCAGTGGATGTTGTCGAGGAAGTTGAGTGTTCTCGTTGAGGTTCTGCAACACAGATTCAAAATATTGTTTTTGGGTTACTTTTACCCAGAAGATCCTCGCTTCGTTGAGTTCTCTCGTTGTTAGCACTGGCGTGTCTGGCGATTTATCGTTGCTGTGACTTGTAGAACCTTAGATAACGTGGAGTATCTGTTGAGGAACTCTGCCAATGGGCGCTGTCTAGCTTCAACTGTCACTGGGTGAGCCAATGCTGGTCTCTCTTCAAGTGAGACCTCCGTTGGAGTATTGGTTGTGTTTTGTGGCCAGGCTGATGGCGGTTTGGCTAGCCAGTCAGGCCCGTTCCACCACAGGTGATGTT